TTAAGCCCGCTAGGTATGCCATGCGTTGCTTTCCCTTGTCTCGCTTTCATTCTATTCGACATGTGAGTATCAGATTCTCCAGGCCTTCCTTCCTCATTATGTGTCCCAGAAACTTCAACTGCCTCTTCCTGATGTTAAGTATCAGACTCCTCCTTGTTTGCATCCTTTCCAACACCTCATTGATGCTCACACGCTCGGCCCAGGATATCGTTAGTATCCTTCTGTAGAATCACATCTCCGTCGCCTCGAGTCTCTTCTTCAACTTTGAGGAGACAGTCCAACATTCGCCGCCATAAAGGAGGACAGATATCACGTAACAGCTCACTGTTCTTTTCTTTGTTACCAAAGAAATCCTTCTGTCTCGCAGTATTCTGCCCAGCTTTTGGAATGTGTCCTTGGCCATCCCAATACGTCTACGGATGTCAATGTCGCAGTTACCATCGTCTGTCAAAATGCTTCAGAGTTATTTAAACTAGTGTTCTCGACCATGTTTCACAAGCAAACATTCGAATTAATCCATCTAACTTCTCCTTGTTCTTCATTTGCTGTCTGTTTTATACCATTGAAGTTAAGGCATCATATATTATCTTTCCGTCTTTCTATCTGTCCCACAGACGTCCATTTTGTTGTTTAATACTTGGAGACAAATCATGCGATGTTTTACCCCCCTAATACCTTGCAGGTAGTTTTTTGAGTTTCCTCTTGTCTGCCTTTAGGTACACACCACAAAAAAGGTAAAAAAGGTATATATATATATATATATATATATATATATATATATATATATATATATATATATATATATTAATCTCATACGTTATTTAAGTAAATGCTCTGTTTATAATAAACAGTATTAAGAACATTTACCGGTCTGAATGAGAAAATTCATAGAATTGATGTGATTTACAACAGGAATCGAACCTATATCCTAGACGGAAGCATCATATAGCCTGACGTGCTATACCAGTTTAGCTACGAGGGCCGTTGTGTCTATTATTTCAGGCACTTTCGGCCACTTCTTTATCCATTTTGAAAGAGTTTGTTTTTTGTTTTTTTCACGTATTATAATATATATATATATATATATATATATATATATATATATAATATACACAAGACACACAGACACACACACATACATATATATATATATATATATATATATATATATATATATATATATATATATTATATATTAAACAATTATTTTTTTTAAACAATATTCATTAAAAAGAAGCATAACAATTCAGCAATAACATTTTTAAATGAATGTTCAAGAGCGTATTGATTATCGACACGTATTTTCATAACCTGAAAATAAAATATTTTTATTAAAAATGTAAACAAAAACAGCAAGTTTTATTAACAAATAACTCTGCCTGAATAATATATATATATATATATATATATATATATATATATATATATATATATATATATATATATATGAATATTTTATATATATATATATATAAATGAACATTCAAGTCAACACTCAAAGGCGACACAGGCTGTTTCATGCTGGACGGAATCTTCAGGCGGTCTGACGATTGCGTCCAGTATGAAAACAGCCTATCACCTCTGAGTTCACTTTATATTTATATTTACATACGCTCTATCTCTGATATTGAGCACTTTATCCCATAAATATAGCACACCTTAAAACTATATTTCTTTATATATATATATATATATATATATATATATATATATATATATATATTTATATATATATATATGTGTGTGTGAGTGTGTGTGAGTGTGTGGGTGGGGTAATTCTGCAGCAGAAATATCTCCCACAGATTTCTCTTATTATTTAACCATTATATGAGCGGTATTTCTGGAAGTTGTATCTCGGAAGGTATTTCTGCTCTGTCATATTACGTATTGTATTTCGCCCAATTACAGAAGTTAAAACCTTCAAGTGAAACAATTCTTGCTAAAATCAGTACTCAATAGCGATACTAATTATTAGTAATAAAATTAAATAGTTCATTTATCTTATTTTAATTTCCTTCGTTGATTGCTTCTTCGCACCGCGTCTCCAGCCGATTTTTTTGGTGAACTGAATTTATTTATAGGTCGTATATTTTATTTTCTCCAAAAACAAATGTTTAAAGTAATTCTACTATCAATATAAAATTAATGTGTGAAATTAAATCTTGCATTTTGTTCACTTATAATTATAATTCATGATTTTAAAAATTAAATGTTAATGGAAGAGATATTTTTTCATCTTTGCCTTTTGTTATGAAATTATGTTTTGACATTAAATTCAAAAAACCCCATTCAATTTTCTGCATAAACTTTTCGGTGATTAATTTGTAGCTTTTGGTTTGATTTAGTTTCTTCTACGGCATATCAACCTCAATGATTTATTTAATGCCTAGAAGAGTTTTATTGCTGTTAAAATTTTTGCTTCAAAATGTATTGCTGGTAAGCCATCAACACTTGACAGAGAGAAACAGTTAATTCTATCTATCTATCTATCTATCTATCTATCTATCTATCTATCTATCTATCTATTGGTTTGGTTTGTTTTACGGCATACCAACCTCAATGGATTATTTAATGTCGACAAGATTTTTATTGTTGGTTAAGTTTGTTTTGTTTTGTTTTACGTCCTATCAACCTCAATTGGTTATTTAATACCTACATGATTTTTATTGCTGGTTAGGTTTGGTTTGTTTTGTTTTAGGGCATATCAATCTCAATAGGTTATTTTATGCCTAGGAGATTTTTTATTGCTGGTTTGCATTTTTGTTTAAAAATGTATAGCTGGTAAGCTATCAACACTCGACAGAGAGAAACAGCTAATTCTAGTGTGTTGTTTTTACGGATTTAAACAAACGATTATCAGTCAGAGTGCTTCAATTCATTTTACTGAAGAAATCTGCATTAGCTCAGGTGGCTGTTGTTTGTAGAATCAGCCTATCTCTCAACAGTGCTCGATTGAAATATATTTTCAAGAGCTTATATAATGTAGTTGTCATAATTATATTCTATACATAATATGATTTAGCATCATGTATCAGTAAAAGGTTTCAATTACAATTATTTGTAAAGTTATGCGTGCAGAAATTATTTCAAAATTAAAGTTTAGCGTGCAGAAATCTTGATAGAAATTTGAAATGTAAATAAGTTTCACAGTTGATTTTCATGTAATATCCTGAATTAGATTGGCTGTCGTGACAATCAAAAAAGCGATATTTTTAATTTCATTTCATGTAGCCTTTACCTTTTCTCGTAAAAACGAATATTTTGCTCCAACTGCGACAGTGTCAACATGACTGTTGGTTTGTTACCGTATCTTCCGCATAAGAGCTGCAAACGGTAAATGTGTACAAACTGTTAAATAATAGTTTAGCAGACTTTTATTTTTAGGGGGAATTGTATCTCTGCTAAGACATCCAGAGATTGACCTTCGAGGTCAGATGCAAGATAAAATAGGGAAGTCGATTTTGAATGGCTGAGCTAGCGTGGGAAAGGCTATAGGAGAAAAGTTTCAGGAAATTGGTTGTTTCCGTCCCGTGAAACGACCCCCACAGGATAGTTAGTACATGTCGACATTAATTATATAGTTAAATAAAATTATGTGTTGACGTCCTTTCATCTCTGAAAAGAAAATAGCGAACCCCGCCCGGGAGAAGATGAGAGGGAAGATATGGAACACAAATAATAGACAAACAACTTCTTATTTTTTTCGCATTTTTTTTTTTTACCGTCAATGCCTTCAGGGTGTGTGGGTATTATAGTGGGCATTGGCGTGTAAATAGGATTCGGCGAGCTGAGTTCAAATCTACGCCCACTTTCGCATAAATGATTTTTGGAACCACATAAATATCTCTCTACTTCCACTTGATATGTGTTAGATATCAGGAAGGACTGTTTTTCCTCGTATTGGGTGTTAACCAGCCTACGAGAAGAAGCAATTTGAACTTAGAATCATGGAGAAATCAACAGGAAACCTTCAAATAAATTTCCAAAGAAAGATACCGGGGAAAAGTAATCAATGGTGAATTGTGAACACTAACTAACATTTTTTTTTTTTACCTGTGAGTTGAGAGGAAATATTTAACATTTATAACTTCGTATTTACACTGTTTATATTCGGACTATTGTCCTCATCTTTGTTGTTGTTATCAGAACGTTTCGGCCGTTGTGGCCTTCGGCCTTTCTCAGGGGAATATCAATCTGGGACCCACAGGGGTTTCTGAGCTTAACATTTTATTCAATCTACGGGTGTAGACTGCTCATGTTATTTTTATTCAAGAGCATCGTTGAATAATGAGAAATCGTTGAACCAAGTTCGAAATTTAATCGGGTTCGTTATATTCACATCTGTTCGAATAGCCTTGGGAAAGGTATGAATCGATCTTTTCTCCTTTCAGCTATCGGTTGAATAGCAGAACAAACTGTGTCCTCCTATAGCCTTTGCAACCAATCACGAAAGAAACCTCAACCTACTGCCGGAAAATTCGGCTTAGTCCGCCATGATTCATTGTCGTCCAAGCAGCTATCGCGCATATCACTAAACTGTTCAGTTATTGCTCGCTGAGTGCAAGTATGCATCCAGGGATTGAACTCACATCCACTATGTCACCAAATTCACAAACCAATGCTTTTGTTCCCAAGTATATTTATTCCTGAATAAAACAGAAAATGTTGCACAAGGCCGAAATGGGGAACTTCGCTAGCCACAAACGCTGACCCAATCACACTTACAATATTTCTTGCACCAAAACAACACATTCTTACTTACCTTTCTCAGCACACCCACCATAATACCTCATTGTCTAAATGAGAATACTACCTATTCCTCATATGTAAAATATATCGTCTGTGGGAATAAAACAACAATTTAAAAAAATTTAAAACTAACCCAATGATTATTTACAGTATGAACTAATAACTATTTACAAGAAACTAAACAAATTCATGTTAGTAATAACCCACCTCCGCCCACAATCATTAAATGCTTTTGTTCACAATTATCCCGTAGGTAAGGGTTAGAGTCATAAATTTAACGTGGCTGTTGATTAAGTTGCAACTGCTTCTGTTGCTTGTCCCGTTTTGACTGCTGCTGCAGCCACTTTGGTTGAAGACTTGCTGCCATTTGCCTTTCTTTATTAGCAACTCCCATACTGTATTTAATCCTATGCTAAGCCGAGTAAGGAGATCCTCAAAGAACGCATATCCGCGGATAGTGTAAATAATGATAACTCCTCATTCCAGAAATCCAGACAAAATTTACAACATTAATTTTATAAAGACACTCTCTAACTTCCTAGTTCTTGTACTTATAATCTTACCCTTATTCCCAGGCAGGATTAAGATACAGGTACCGGTTGGCCCTTCCTTCGACCTCTCTGATCCCTAACTGCAAATACCCTGCCCCTACAGGGGTCGACTGCAAATACTACATCCTATGCTGCTAAGATATAGTTTATGTAAGAAGGATTGATACATTAAAGTATCATATTTCAGTGATCCTTTAAACTCACAGGTTTGACAGTGAGACCTTCTTGGCGATCTATTTGGGGTTGCTTTGTGATTAAGATTTAAATATCACACTCATTGTCAATTTACTAAAGAAACAGTGCCAATTTTGTTGAATCATATTCGAAATGTTAACTCGTTTTAGTTGCCTTGGCCTATGTCCATCGTCTCTTTACGCATCCTGGGCGGATTGGTGTGGTCAGGTTATTTGGATTTCCAAATATTTTTCTGTTTTAAGGGTTTTCCTCTAGATATTTCTAAGTTCAAATTCGACCGTTTCCAAACGCTAGCATCATTTATTTAATAAAATGAATTTCAAAATTTATTTTCACACCTTATTAATTCTATAGCTACATTGAAACCTTCTTCAAAAACCATGTAATCTCTGGATTCTAGCAGTCTATCAGAAATTCCTCAGTTGGGACTCCGATGCTGCATCACAGACTGAATTAAGTATATTTTTTTCTTCAGGTTTCAACTTTCTTAATGGAGAATCACTGTAGCAGACATCCTTTCTTGGGGAATGCGAACGAAAGGGGGGATTGGAAAGAACAGATATCAACAGATCGGCTAGCTCCAAGTAGAGGAACCAAGGTATACAATGGAATCTGAGAGATGAAGTCGTCGTTGCTCTTGACTTCACTACTGCCGCAACCGAACTACCAGGTTTTGTACGTTTTTACTCTTATATCAGAACTCAAACAAAAAAATCAATCATCGTCAGGATCTCACCCCCACGGTATCCTCGTTGTCTAGGTTCTGACAAGTTTGTTATTTTTCTAGACTCGGCGTTTTGTAACACCTCCCCTCGTTTTATTATGAGTAAACGATAATCTCCGTCACTTATATCTTATAATTTCCGCTATCAAGCCTTTTTGGAGATAAGCCATCCTCTCATTTAATCTTGTGTCGTACAAAATTAACTTAGTATATAACTTAATTTAAGACTTATGTTATGAACCATATTAATATTATGCAACTATTAATCTAAAATTATACCAAGAGATGTTACTAGACATTTTTTTAATAAAATAAGTGAGTGTCTGTACCAGAGGGTAAATTATATTCATAGCTATCAGAATTTTACGTGAAATAATTTATTTCACAACAGGAGATCGACTGAATTATTCAATCGTCATTACTTCCAATTATTTCCCTGAAGGCACTCATTTGAAAGAATGAAACCAACAACAGTTATATATCAATTGGATTATCATCCTATTAAATCGTTAATTACATAAACTAGAGAATTACGAGGGGGTGCTAAAAATTTCTTAGTCAGACCATAAAAGGGATTACTTTCCAAATTCTGGTGTTTGATATCTTAAAAGACTATCAGATTTCCAGAAGTGGCAAGCGGTTACTTTCTGTCAATCTCTCGTATTATATATTTATGTAAACTGTCATGCGATAACTATGTATAAATTTGAATATCTCAAGAATAATATTGAGCGAGAAATGTATGACAAAGAGGAAAAACGTTTTTGTGTAATGCATTTAGATTCTTTTTTTCTTTTATAAATGAAATTGGCTAGATTTTATACAAAATAAATAAATAAATAAAATAAAATAAAAAAGTAAAATTTTAAATTCCCAGCATCACTAGTTCATGCGAATGCGTAAACACATCACACAAAAAATTTTCCACTTTATCATACATTTTTCCCCACAATTATATATATATATATATATATATATATATATATATATATATTCAGTTATATAGATGTGAGTTTGTGATCCTGCGTTTCACGCTTTTGCGATCATCAGAGAAACTGGTTTATTAAAAAAAAAAAAAACCTATTTGTCTGAACCCATATACATACAACTGAATATCTTAGCTCTATCACTGATATTGAGCACTTTACAATAAGTACTGCGCATATAAAATTATGCATACATACATACATACATACATACATATGTATATATATATATATATATATATATATAGAGAGAGAGAGATAGATAGATAGATAGATAGATAGATAGATAGATAGATAGATAGATATGCACAAATCCAAAGTGTTTGTACACCAACAGAAAGCCAACCTGGTGAAAGAAAAGAAAACACAGGCAAACACTTGGTGACTAGATAAATAGATTGTTTAAATTCACTAAAATTTGCATGCTAATATATATATATATATATATATATATATATATATATATGTATAATATTTCTTCGAAAATTATAACATAAATATTTTATAAGACACCAGAAGTGTTGAAACAAAATGAGAAAATGGCTATTTTTGTAGTGATTTTATAACATATTTATGTTATAATTTTCGAATAAATAATTATATTTGCTCTACTCTCTATTGAGCACTCTTTTAAGAATAGTATTTGTTGGTTATTGGAATTTATTCCGTATACACCAATCCTATACTTGGGTATATATATATATATATATATATATATATATATATATATATATATATTATGACTGTTATATGAAATTCTGAGTAGTGCATTTTGGTATTGATAATATCTTTATATTATATTATACTAAATAACGATAGATATATTGTTATATCTCAAGAACAATATTGGAGGAAAAATGTATGATGGCAAACTGAAAAAATGTTTTTTCGTGTGACGCGGTCCGTCCAATGATGTCCTAAACGACGAAACGCGTCACCCAAAATCTTTTTTTTCATTTTGTCGTATGTAATGTGTACTAGTTAATAAATAAATAAGCGTTACAATGACTAATCTCTCGACTGTGCATTCCGAAGAAGTAAATCCGTGCTTCACGCCTTAGTTAAAGAAATTGAATTTATTAACTGATATCTTATCAGTTAATTCAATTCGTTTAAAATGGGATATGATAATTGTTAATCTTATAAACTTGCTTGTCCCTTTTTAATTCGTACGTTGCATCCTGCTAATACCTCATAAATAATGGACTATTCCAGTTTGATCGCTTGGAAAGACGGAACATGTCTATCGGAAACACTATTTGGTTTTAGTGAGAAAAAGAAGGAAAGAAAGGAAGATAGGAAAGGCAACCTCATGTGTTTAACGTTTGCTTCAGTGAAATAGAAAAAAAAAATGTCAGTTTAAAATATCTTCATTTGTATCCTGTTATTTTTTAAATAACGACTATCATGCAAATTTATGATAGTTACTGCAATATTTTGTCAAAGTTTTTAAGATCATATATTTAACGATGCGATAGGGGAACTTCTACAGCTATTTTAATGTCACAGAACTCGCCATGACCTTATTCAATCATTAACTTAAGAATTAAAATTCATCAAAATATTCAAATAGGTAAAACCGTGAAGTTTTGTGAGCATTTATATTATAACAACAATGATGTCCTTGAAGTGCGAATTTACTTCTGCGAAACGTGGAGTAAGGAGATAGTTCTCTGTATTTTATTCATGTTTTTTTTTTCATTTTAACGTCCTATTTTTTAATTAATTGCTTTATTTACATTATTCTGTCTGTTATCCTCATCTTAATTGCCATATTCAAACAAAGCTCATTAGATAAAGACGTTGGTTAGATTCAGTGACGATACCCAAGGAGTTGTGAGTTCAATACCAAGAAACAGCAGTGGTGAACCAAAAAGAGAGTTGAGTTTAAAGGAAAATAACTGAGGCATGGCACGTGGAATTAGAACAATCTACCCCAGTGGACGAAATAAAAGGTTCGGTTATGAAATTCCTGTCAGTTGAAATTTATAAAATCTTAAAACTTTTTTTTCTTTAGGAAAATATGTTTCTCAAGTCCAGTAACTGTTATCGCTCTTTTCTTGTCATCGTATCTCTAAGGACCTTTTTTTTACGTTTTTCTTTCTCTGATTTTTATATTACTCAATTTCCCGCTGGGCGCGTATGGCCATTTTACAAAGTAACCATATAGTCTTCAAATACAATATTCTCTAACTTGCAGCTGTGTTGGTTATCGTGTAAAATATTCAATCCGGTTCTTGGATTGATGTGAACTTCACAAACCTGACAGAATTAAAATGACGAGAAATAAAATGGAATACAGCGAGTTTGGAATAGCGGTCACCAACGCGAAATAATACTAGCATTTAGCAGTCCTTTGCCTGATGTTATATGGCTAAGCCCTTTTTTATATGGTTTTTAAATTCCTCGGCTTCTTTCCGTACTTGAATCGAGAATAGTAAGAGATTATATATTTTTTTCAGAGATTCGTAGCTGCATACTGCATTTTGGCATCTTAGGAAGTTGTCATTAATTTAATTTGAATAATGTACCCGTCATTGTTTTTAATATTTCGGTCTCACCAATTCTAAAGTAACGACACTGTTATGGAGTCAATAGTGAGAATTCACGTTGCCAATATGAATCAAGATTAGAAACATGATGGCAATCATTCAGAAGTGATTAATCAGCAAATTATATTTTTGCTAGTTTGCCACCTTCTGAGAAGAAGCCGGGCAGTGGCATTTTTTGTGGCGAGGAAGGCAAAAATATAGTCCAAAAGAACGGGAAATTAATCTGAAAGCGTCCGCTTAAAAATAAATAAATAAAAATGACGTAATGAATATGCATACACCTTGGTTCCACCTCGCAGTAATATGATTGGCTGGTGTCAGCCATAAATACAGACTGATGTGGAGGTACATGAGGACGCCTCTTGCCTACGCCTATAGTCTTCGCCTATTGCCTACGCCTATTAGAACTATTACAGTTCCCGCTAGTTTGTCCTACCGGGTTACAGTAGTCCAAAACCACTTTGCTACTTCGAACATATCAAAAAAGAAAAAACATAAAGAAAGAAAACCATGAAAAATAATGTCAACGGCCAAAAATCTTTTAACAGCGTTGTTAGACTTGTTGGTGACGTTTGAAGCAATGATAGAGGCTTTCTCCCGATCCCCAATGAAGATTACGGTATTTACGCCTCCTGCAAACTGTCTTTGCTGCCGAACTGCAAATGCTCTCATCAGGGCCTACTCTAATTACTCCGCCCTATACTGCTAAGGCGTAGTTTATATAAGAACGGTGGAGGCATTAAAGTATCATATTTCATACTAATCCTTAAAACTAAATCTCCCTTATTTTGCTTTATGTGTCATGTCTCGTTTTTCGTTTTGGCGAATATGTAAATTTTTTTTTTAATTTGGCGGGAAACTTTTCAATGATCAAATAGTAAGAGAGTAAAGATTAAATGAAATTTGAGGAATAAAAAGGATGGAAAGTGAAAGTGAGAGGCAAGAAGGAAGAAAGGGTAAGGAGAAGGAGGGAGAGTGATGAAAGGAGCAGAAAGATAAAGAAGAGGTTCGCAGAGAGTTACAAAGAGAACGAGAGGAAGAAAGAGAAGGTAAAAGAGAGTTACAGATAGAGAGAGTCAAGACAGGGAAAAAGAAAAAGATGCAGGGGGGTAGCTAGATAGAGAATGGGGGAGGCACTGATACAGAGAGAGAGATAGGTAGAGAGAGAGAGAGAGAGAGAGAGAGAGAGAGATAGAGAGAAGTAACAGAAACTTACAGAAACCGAAGGAGAGGAAGTAGTGGTGGAAAAGCATATACAGAAAGAGGGAGTAAGGGAGGGAAGGGAACAAAGGGTCAGAAGAGAGGAAAAGAGAATTAGGAAACAAGAGGAGGGTGAATAGAGAGTGCAGGTGGCAGACAGTAAATGAGAAGGATGTAAAGTGAGTGAGAGTTAAGAAGGAAGAAAGATTAAGGGAGATAGAGAGGGAGGTAAAATAGAGAGAAAGAAGAAAGATAGACAGGCATAAACAGTGAAAGAGAAAAGACATATTTTTACGCTTATATAGGGAGAAAATTAATTGGGTTCGACGCAATTAATATGCCAGCATCTATATTTTATAGCAAGGGAGATAAAGGAAGAAAGTGTAAGGGGGATAAAGAGAGAGGGAAAATGGAGAGAAGGAAGAAAGATAGACAGGCATATACAATCAAAGATAAAAGACATAGAAAGGGTAGTGGCAGCGTGCTTAGTGAATTAAATGAAAAATATTGTTCACTTCCATAATAACACAAGGCCGCATACAGAAAGAACAACACGGGAAAACAAAATGGAACTCGGTTGGTCTGTTCGATTCCACCCGCCATATTCCCCTGACCTTTCACTAACCGATTATTAGATATTTTTTTGCTCACTGAAAAAATGCTTTAATTAGGAAAAATATTTTTTCTGATGAAGACCAAATTGAAGAATTTGTCGAAACGTTTTCAATTCAAAACCTGCATTCTGATAGGATTATGTGTTTGATATGTGATGTCGATCGGAGCAAATTGCTTTAACAACCGCGAAAGAAAAAAATAACTAAAACGAAATGCATAAATTTGGAGGAAGATTCCTATCTATCCATAAAATTTAGCCAGGGGTTCCTTTTTTACATGTCGAAAGGAACTTATCAATCTAATTGGGGGCTTTGAAATTTCCTTCAAGAAAACGAGTCGATATATCTCGTCTAACCGAGAAAAGATAAAAAAAAAACCGATTCTCTGGAGAACAAAAGTAAAAAAAAAAAAAAAAAAAAAGGGAGCAAAATGAACAATTTTTAGACAATGGCTGTGAAAAGCAGATCAGCTTCAAATATTTGACGGGTTTTGCTTTGTCATGTTAAAAGCCAGACGACGAATGCTCCTGATTTTCTTTAATTTTCGTTTTGAAATTGGTTTCGGCACGTCAATATATCCGTTTCTTTTATTCTTAAACTCGTTGGAAAAGCGGTTCGTAATTTAGTTTTTGATTTATCAAAATAATGTCCGATTGAACATCGATTGTGTATAATGTAAATTTTACCCCACAGACAGAGGAAGATGGCAAGGTAGAGAGAAGAGGGATAGGAAAAAGAAAGAAAGGCTATAGAATGAGATAAAAGAATAGATAAATATAGAGCAGGAGAAGGCGGGAAAGTGGGGAAAGCAGCAGAAAGGGAAAGAAAAGGTTTGGGGAGAGATACAAGGAGAACGAGAGGAAGAAAAAGAAGGTAACATTTAGAGAGGGTCAAGACAAGGAAAAAGAAAAGGGGATAGCTAGATAGAG